TCCCCCCTACACCCCCCCATCCTCCTCCTCCCATTTCCTCCTTTCTTTCTCTCTTCCCCACTTTCTTATTCCCTCATCCTCCAACTCCCGTGTTTTTCCCACATTCGCACCCTTTCACCCTACACCCTTTTCAACCCATTTCTTCACTTCCCTTCGTTACCTTTTCCACCCCATTACCTCCCTTATTTACCTCTATCAGTAACCCTTTCCATCTGACAGTTTCTTTCTACCTGACCCCCTTCTCCTTTCCCTAAATTTGCCTCTCGTCCTATCCCTGCCCATCTCTACCTACCTCCTGCCCCCACTACCCTCCTCCCCCATCCTTTCCCATCTTCTTCTTCCCCAATTCTATCCTCTAACCTTTCCCCAACTCTCTTCCCTCTATCACTTCCTCCCCACTCCCTAATCTCCGTCCCTGTTTCTTGCCCCAAGTTTTTTTTTTCCATCTTCCTTCCCTCCCCTACCTTTCCCCTCTTCTCCCCTACTTTTCTCCCTTCTCTCCTACTCCTTCTCCCTCTTTTCTCCATTCCCCTTATCCCTTCCCCCATCCCCCTCCTACTCACCCCTATCCCTCCCTCCCTTTTCCCACTTCTCCCCTACCCCCTTTTTCCCTACTCCCCCCTACCTATTTCCCCCTTCTCCCCCTCCCACCTCCCCCTCCCCCTCTCCCTCACTTACTAATAAGAAAAGGCGTTGGCAAAGGACAGGTATCCAAGGTGGACCTCATCCTCTTCCCCCCTTTTCTCCCCTACCTTTCCCCCCCTTCATCCCTACCCTCTCCCCCTTTTCTCCCTTCCCTCCCCTTTTCCTCCCTTTCACCCCTCAACCTCTCCCTCCCCCCTCATTTCCCCTTTTCTCCCCTACACCTTTCTCCCTTTCCCCTCTTCCCTTCCCCCTTTCATCCCTACCCTCTCCCCCTTTTCTCTCTTCCCTCCCCTTCTTCCTCCCTTTCTCCCCTCACCCTCTTCCTCACTTACAAATAGGAGAAAGCGTTGGCGAAGGACAGATTCTTCCGGTATCCAAGGTAGACATATTCGGGGAAATAATCTTCGCCGTACCACGTGTACCCACAGTCGCCCCGGATGTTGTAGTTGACACTGTTCACGTCTTGGAAGAAGGCGATTTTCCTCTGCAATAAGGGAAAAGAAGGAAAATGGGAGATAAGATGCGAAGATGGAGGAAAAAGATGGAAAGAAAGAGGAAAGAGATGGAGTTGATACTGTTCACGTCTTGGAAGAAGGCGATTTTCCTCTGCTATAAGGAAAAAAAGAAGGAAAATGGGAGATAAGATGTGATGAATATGTGGGGAATAGATGCGAAGATGGAGGAAAAAGATGGAAAGAGGGAAAGAGATGTAGTTGATACTGTTCACGTCTTGGAAGAAGGCGATTTTCCTCTGCAATAAAGAAAAAGAAGGAAAATGGGAGATAAGATTAGATGAATATGTGGGAATAGATGCAACAATGGAGGAAAAAGATGGAAGGAAAAAGAGTGAAAAAAATAGGAAATGATGTAGGCGACACTGTTCACGTCTTGGAAGAAGGCGATTTTCCTCTGCAATAAGGAAAGAGAGAAGGAAAATGGGAGATAAGATGTGATGAAGATGGGGAATAGATGAAATACTTATATTTTTCCTCTTATCTCATACAACCCCCTCCCCTTCCCTCCCCCATACCTATTTTGACCCATACCTCCTCTACCCCTCCCTACCCATTACCTATACCCTCTCTTACCCATACCCAACCCGTGCTCCTACACGCACTCCCCCTTCCTACTCTTACCCAAACTTTCCTACAACGACCTATCATAAAATCCAAAATAAAAGCGAAAGACAAGAAGGATAATCGAACTATTCATCTAAAAAACACTAAATCACTCATTCACCCACTCACCCACCTTATCCACCCATTCACTCATCCACTCACCTACGCTCTCACCCTTTCATCCACTCTCTCATATCACCCAATCATTCACTCACTCACCTTACCCACCCACCCACCCTTTCACCGTCTCACCCACTCACCTTAACCCCCCCCTACCCTTTCACCCTCCCACTTATCCACTCATCCACCCACCCTTTCACCCACCCACTTATTCACCCACTCACCTTAACCCCCCTCCCACACACACACACACCCTTTCACACTTCCACTCACAAACTTACTCACCAACTTCTACCCTTTCACCCACTCACTAACTTTTCACTTACTCACTAACTTCTATCCTTTCATCCCCTCACTCACTCATCCACCCTTTCTCCCTTTAACCCACCCACTCATCCACCCTTTCATCCTCCTACCCACCCACTCATCCACCCTTTCACCCACCCACCCACCCTTTCTCCCTTTCACCCACCCACCCACCCTTTCTCCCTTTCACCCACTCACCCTTTAACCCAGCCATTCATCCGCCCTTTCTCCATTTAACCCGCCCAATCATCCACCCTTTCACCCACCCACCCTCCCACCCACTCATCCATCCACCCACCCACCCTTTCACCCACTCATCCACCCACCCTTTCACCCACTCATCCATCCACCCACTCATCCACCCACCTACCCACCCTTTCACCCACTCATCCGCCCTTTCTCCCTTTCACCCTCCCACTCATCCACCCACCCACCCTTTCACCCACTCACCCAACCCCTTCACCCAAACAGACCATACCTTCGAGTTCTGCAGCAGTTCCAGAGCCTGAGTGTTGTTTTGCACCATCAGTGACGCGTCTGACTGGAGGGTTTCGTAGAGGAGTCTCAAGCCTTTGTCCCGAGCAGTCTGGTGGGTAAAATGAAAATGGTGAATAAAAACGTAGTAAATGATAAGTGGGAATATGATGAAGGAAAATGGGGGAAAAAAGACGGAATTGGTAGATGGGGATATTATGAATGGAAATGATGAGCAAAGGCGTAGTAAATGGTAGGTGGGGATATTATGAATGAAAATGGTGAATAAAAACGTAGTAAATGGTAAATGGGGATATGATGAATGAAAATGGTGAATAAAGACGTGGTGAATGGGACTGGTAGAATGGGATATGATGAATG